ACAATATCAGACAACCTTATTATTATGTATGGAGTTTGAATATTGCTATTTTTGTTAACACTAGGCCTTCCAGAATTCTGGAACTACTAAAACTCCCAGAGAACTCATGTTTTTGTCTTTCACTACTTTTTGTAGAATTAAGTAATTCATGCAATGTTTCTCTTTAAAACATGCTAAAACACTATCTGACTGTATCTCTTTTACCTCCTATACCACTTTTCTTCCTTTGGACACATTCTCACTCTTCCACAGCTGTCTGATCAATGATCGCCATGCTATCTTTCCATCATAATGCAATTTGCATCACTGAGTCCTGTCGTAATTGGTAATATTTCAGCGGGTGGAAAAAAATCTGTTCGGTCATTTGGGCGAGTACCACCAGCTTCTATAATCACTTTCCTCTTTCCACAAATGATGATATTGGTGTTAAGTGCTTGGTAATGACTAAGCGCTAATCCAGAGCGCACCCTTGATTAAATTTACTTTGTGGATCCGTTCTAATTGAAATGGCAGTCTCTGAAAAAAAAAAATACACTAGTCCACCCATGTGTCACAGTATTTCTGTGACTGTCATACTGTCCACTGCAGCATAACAATTTGTCTAGTTAGAGTGAGAAGCTGGACCAACACAGTAAACCAGGTTGTATGTCAAAGTTAAATAAAAAATGTGGGGGAGAAAATCATATATTTCATACAGTAACAACATCCACTGAATTGAGAATATATACCCAGCATTTGTATTTTTGCTCCCATCTCATGAAGGGTGAAACTTAAAACTATACTGTCCACCAATTTAGGCCACTTTAAATATTTAGTTTTGCTTTTTTTTGAGTCTGGTGTTGTCACAATTGTCCTCGCACATTGCAACACTGCGTATATTTAATCTGGGTTGTTGACTGTGGCTTGTGGAATGTTTCTGGACATGTCACCCATTGATCCTGTTTGGAATGCACTGTATCGCTGTACACAACAGTGCGTTCCAGCTCCTGCCAATGCTCAGCAACTTGACGGAGTGGACCAAAATTCCACAGGCCACAACCAATATAGAAGAAGTTCACATTGAGACAAAATTGTGCATAATATCAAATAGAGAAGAGTCTATTGGGCATTTGTAGGGAGTTTAAAAGTTGAATCCATGACATTTAGAGCAAAAATATGCTGTTTAAACTTAAGTAACTTCGGTGTAAAATTAGCTACTAGGGCAGAATTGAGATAAACCGCAAATCCAAATCCACATGCATCATCTTTGCTTTTTATTTTGTTTCTTATTTGTTATTTTTTTAAAACCCCTTCAGTGTTCAAGAAAGCGCTATATAAGTATGATGTATTATTATTATTTTTGCAAGTGCTTTGGAGAATAAGATAAGATAAGAGATTCTTCATTCGTCCCACAGTAGGGAAATTTCAATGTTGCGGCACAAATACAGGACAGTAGTAAGAGCACAAAGGGAGCGCACAGATTATCCAAAATATTTATAGTAGATATGTTTCTTAACTAGCTGTGAATGCTTCAATACCAGACAGCTGTTCCAAACCCTTTGTATGTAAGCTCTGTCTTTGTCTTTTCCTGGCTCCGCCCACAGTTCAAATGGTCCCAAACAGGAAAGACAACATGCACATTGTCTTCCGTACTGTTTTTATCATCTGATTTTTTGCGCTGCTGCTGATATGCGGCATCAGTGGGATATTCACTGCTTTTGTGTCTCACTCAAACTTTATTGGACTCGATCACGGAGCAGTGAAGAGAAAAACACAGGCAAACTGATGCGAGGGGAGATAAAAGCGAGCTCATAATGCACAGGGACTGTCAATTTACTCAAACCTTTAATATGGTCAGTAAAAAGAAGATCTTGGTTTGACCCCTTGTTTAAAGGAATAAGCCGGTGTTCATTTGACATACACATTCAATTTCATGCGTTCATTAGAGGGTCTTGATCATATTTATTTTTATCCTTTTTTTCTTCACATAAAAACCTCAAATATTCTTTGCTGCGCAGGTACATCAAGGTACACACATTCAAAAATGTTGTGGACAAACATTCAGTTCACTGTAGGACCACTGTTACTTCTTCATTGCACAAAATCTTCTATTTTCTTAGCTGTAAAGGTGAACATTGTGGACAATGTCATTGTGGACAGACAGAGCATGAGTTCCTCTGGGCTTTCTCCTGGTCCCAGTTCATCTTGGCCCTATAATAGTAGGACTTCCTCGTGGCTCTCTGCTTGCCTTATGTCTGCTTAGCTCTCTTCTTGTCTTAGTTCTTCTTGGATTAAAGGAAACTCAGGAAGTGTCCATGTCGTCCCGGTGTCTCCTCCTCACGATTAAAACTCATTAAATTAAAGCTTGGATACCTACATTTTCTTTTGCATTAAGGGCATATTAGCTCTGCCCAAAAGGAAAATGTAAGAGTCAATCTTATTGTATTTTTTATTTGTATTTATTTGCGTACCGTATGTCATTATTTTACTTTTTGGGCTGGGCGCACAAAATGTATTATTCTTCTTAAGGGGGGCCTGGCAGAAAATAATTGAGAAGCACTGCTGAAGGGGAAAGTGACACTACCAATCAAGCTGGTGTTAGCAACAGCTTTGATTGCATTGTGGGGGCCTCGTCGATATGTAATGCGTGTAGGAGGTAGTAACCTTTCACCAGATACAGGTTGTACAATATATTCTGTTGTACGTCTATATGTGAGGTCTCTCCATCTTCTTTGTGGCAGAGATAACACAAATATGAACCATCAGTCAAACCAATCATACCAGAAACCACTCTATAGCTCTCGATGACCCATGGAAGAATAGTAACCTTCAACTTTATCAATCATGCAGAAGAAGAAGACATGTTGCTTATAATAGAGATTGGCCCCTATGGATTTTCTGAGGCTGATTTGAAAGAAAGATTATTATTATTGTCTTTTTAATATTTGTATTAAATTTTTAGGCTGCAAATAAACATGATGAGGGGCTTGTGCTAATACGCTGGTTAGAAATTAGGACATTTTGGTCAATGTTATTTAATGATGCCTTTATGTATAACCAAGGGAATAGGTTTAGTTTAACAAGAGAGAAGGAAGAATGATTTGTTTATAACTCCTCTTTGGCATTTATTAGTGTTTGTATAGTTATTTGTATGCACAATGGAGGTTTGTTTAACAACGTTTAACTTTTATTAAATATGTTTTTAGATATTCCTGTGTGGTAGTCTAACAAAATGACTTCCACTTGGTTTGAAAAGTAAATATAAATGTATTGTTGATTTATTTACTACATTTTGGGGTTGTTGTTTACAGTGAAATACATGACATGTTCCGTTTCTGCAAAATATAACTTTTAATTCAATGGTAGAATCAGCTGGGAAGAAATTGGACAGATTCATTGGCAGACCTGTTTTAAGTTCTGTTTCCACCAGCCTGAATCTACTCTACTTTACACAGCTCTACTCTGCCTGGTTGTGTTTCCATTACACTTTTGTATCCCGAACAGTATCCTAGCAACCTGCTCACAATGAACCTGTATCTGGGGTATGTCCTTGGCCAATCAGTGAAACGTGTTAGTTCCAGCTCGGCCAGGATCAAACCAGAGCAAAGCAGGTGCTAAAAAACAACATGGTACCAGTTAAACATGGCCAGTGGAAACGCTCCTAATCAAAGAAGAGTAAAGTATTTTGTTGGATTTATTTATCATATACAAGTACTTTACATAGACATTGTAACAAAGCAAATAACAAAAAGAGATTGCAGAACTACCTAATCAAAGAAACAATTCAGTATTTAGTTTCCTCTTAAATGGGCACTGCGCACATTTTATATCATTTGGCGGAGTGTTCCATTTACAAGGAGCTTAACATAAGAAAGCCTCACCCACCTTCATCATCAAACTTGGAACAAAAAGTAGATCTGAGACCGTGCATGTGTTCATAAAGTAAATCAGAAACCTTTAAACAGAAAGTATTCATATGATTAGTAATAGAAACCATTTTAGGGATTTTTAAATATATTTTAACTCAATTTTAACATCACTATTTTAAGTGCTTTTTTCTGTTAAAGGCTATTTGCTATTTTAAATGTACACTTATCTAAATGGGTTTCAAAATCAATTGTTTTTAACTAAAGATCTCATTATAATGAATTTTAACAAATTATCATGAACTTTATTCACTGTATTTTGTAGCAACAATATTTAGATATTTTACATTCACATTTAACATTACAGAATATAGATTCTTTACAGGTATTTTAAACTTTAGTAATTTTTCAACAAGAATAATTGGTCTGTTTTAACCTTTTAAAATTTAACTTAAATCAACTTTTATACTATAAACTTTTAATATAATTTATTATTTTTAGCTAATAATGATAGAAACTTAAATGTAACTGCTTCATAATGGTCCAATTAGTGCAGTCCAATATTTTAACATGGAACTAGACTATTTAAGGAGTCCAAAATAAACATACAAGTCTATTGCTTATAGTCCGTGGTGAGTAGCGAAAGTTACGCACGGTCTTGAACGCCTCTTGAAGCCTATTTAGAACACTCGCATATACGCGCTATTTCGACCCCGCGCCACATATAATCACATAAAAACAATCAGGGGCAGATTAATGCTCACCAGTGGTCCGTATGGGTCGAATCTCGTCCTATATGGCTGTTTTTACGGGCTTTGTTGTACACTTTCTTGGTGCGACGATGTGATAGAGTTTCTCTAGAGTTGCTCTAATTAGGTAAATAGAAGCACCTGAACCCGTGCGCGCAGTGAGCTACAATGACGCGCACGCTCCCTCAATGCGCGCTCCCGACGGGTGCGCACTACACTGATCCCCGCAACATGTAATAAGTCTGTCATAATTAGTTTAACATTGCAAATTTTAATGGAGAAGTACATTTTTGAACAATATTCCAATTTTCCCAGTTTCACCTGTATATATGCTGTACTATTAATATCTAAATGTGGAGTTATCATCATTCACACTAAAATAAAACCTCTCTGCCTTTGTTGCTAGGCTGAGCAGGACAACGGACACCCTCTGCCCGCATTCGCCGACCTCATTATCGACATCCTTGACGAGAACAATCAGGCCCCTTATTTCCAGTTTGCCACTTACCAGGGCTTCGTGAGCGAGTCGGCCCCTGTGGGAACGACCATATTCTCCAGCACCAACCTCACCGAACCCCTGGGAATCATCGCGCTGGATAATGACATCGAAGAGGTAAAGAAATCGCGCCTACGTCTTCACAATATTTGAACATAGTAGAGAAGCTTTTGTGGATCCATCTGTAATTATTTTTTTTACATTTATTTACTTATTTATTTATTTTTGCTGGTAGTACATTGTTGCTGTCATAATCTTCATGGTCTGCTTGTGTCCTTGTTCCAGCTGGCTCCCGGTGATACTCCTGTAGGTAAACTGGGAGATGGAGGAGGCAGTGATTCATTGATGTAATAAGGGGATGTCTAGAGCTGGGCATAAGCTGTTTGAACACAACATTCTGCAATTCTGCGGGAAGAAATGTGTATATAATGCAGTTAGATTTTCTATTTTTCTATACTTTATTTCCCGATTGGTTAAAACGTCATAATTAAAAAAATATAACAAGTCAATTGCAATACAAAGGATAAGATTACAGTACAAAAACAAATAAAACATAAAAGATTAACATAACAACAATGAAATTAATAAAAACAACATATGGAATAATAATAATAATAATACTAATAATAATATACTGAAGAGGTGAAAAGAGAAAAAAAGAGAAAGAAAATAAAATCACTCCGTCCTGGATATCGAGGCACAGAGCTTCTTGTGCTACCATTCCGTGAGATTTGTGCAGTAACATTTTCTGTCATTTTCATTGAATAGAATTGATTGTGTATAGAAAAAAGCACGTATAGATAAATGCTTTACACATCTTAATTTAATCTTTTTGGAGCATCACTTGAAATTACGAACAATTGTTTTGATTATAAATTTCTCGTTTCGACATGTTTTGATCTGAACATGGTAAAATAACATGTTATTTTACCTGTAATTATGGCCTACCTGCCAACCAAATCAGTTTTTTTGTTATTACAAAAGTTTCCTTGGAGCATAAGAACTATTGAAAAGACGTCAGCTCATTCCTAGCTCCGACATCCCTGTGGTGCTTGCATGAACCGTTTGATCACATTTATCACTGCTGGAGACAATGCTCCATCTCTTCCCTGTGTTCCAAAACAATTTTATTTTTTCTAACTAGTTTTCTGAATAAGCAAATCTCCAGCGATGATAGGTGTGCGTTTGGATTGCAAGCTAATCCTTGTAATCTTTTCTTGGAGTGTTGATCTTTATTTTCTACCCTCTGGTAAGGCGTGTGCTGTGGTCTCTTGTTTGGTCACAACACACGTCTGTTCTTTGTTTAGGTCTTTAAAAGTTTACCTTGCCTTGGATTGCTCAATTACCTTCTACTGTTTTGCGTTGTGTGTGGCTCTGTTTGAGTGTGCAGACTTTAAGCTCTAAAAATGTACAAGTCTATAGTGCACTTTTCTATGCCAGCTGTTTGAGCCAGCCCTTAAGGAAGATTAACAAATCAAAGTGGATTGAAAAGAGAGATAAAGGAATCAATATCGCACCCAGCTCCTGATGTTGACCAAAGTCTCTTAAGAGGGCGCATTGACAGACACAGATCGAAGCCGACTTCCAGCAATGGAGCGCCTGGACTTAGTTAACAAGAGAGAGACAATCCTCATGTGGAACTCCCGCTGACAGCAAGTCACTTCCAGACATGTTCAGTGTGGCCTTTACTTACTGCCCGTTATGCCTCTGCTGTGTATAGAGCCGTTTATCCATCTCTGTATGAGCCTGTTCCAACCACAGAAATAAACTGCAAACAAGTTCAAAATAGAATATATTTACCAGAACTCTCATAAGAAGGCTGGGCAGGCCAAGGCCAGTTTAATAATCACAGTACATTAAAGCCACATTTTATAACAGTTGCTCCCAATGAAAAAAACATGTTCACCAATAACAAATGTGACCTTTTTCAAGATTATTTGCCTCCACCATGTTTGGTATGGTTGTCTCTAGACTTAGAATTTGAATTATAAATGTCCATGAGAGCTGTTTACTATCCATGACAATGCGCCATCTTGAAATACATTGGTTGAAAAGGGACAAAAAGGATGCAAGAATCACGTTTTCGTCTCACAGGTTACGTTCACAGGATAACTTTACTGTCACAAGTTTGAAGTAGGAACCATGGAGGGCCACAGTTATGTAAAAGAACCATGGAGGGCCGCAGTTATGTAAAAGAACCATGGAGGACCACAGTTATGTAAAAGAACCATGGAGGACCACAGTTATGTAAAAGAACGACCCAAACAACTATCTTTTAGAAAAATAATTATGTAAAAATCTAGAAACCACAAAAGGCAGAAGTAAAACAACAGGAGGCACATTGCTGTAGTTGGTACACAACATGTGCACACGTGACCAGATGTGTAGACTACTTGCGGAGTAATCTACACATCTGAATTACAAGCAGAGGGTTCTTTTGAGTGATTTATTTACACCTAAGTACTTCCAAATTGGCAGTGAAATCAAATGCAAGTGTTAACATTATGTGTCACTTTCCAAAGCCATGACTCATCCTCCTCAATAAGACTAAAACAGCCGCCATGCTCAACTACTCCAACATGAGGGACGGTGCCAGTTGTACTTTCTGAAACCAAAGGGAAGCATTCACATATTTCTCCTATTAATACGTGTTAAATCGTTACATCTTCAGCTCGAGTTCGACTTCTCCAGAGACAGATGAGCACACTTTCAATGTATTACTTCAACTCTTTGGAAAATCGAAATGCTCTGGTTGATAGGTTTCTCTTGCCAACACCTGTGGCCATGGTTGAAAAAAACATATGAGCGGTTTCTGTGGTAACATATTCCTCCTTGTGTGTTTCTGTGTGAAGACCAAAGACCCCATGGTGACTATTACATTGAATGACTACACGACCATCTTCAGCCTGACACCATCTGGTTTAGTGCGTCACCTGAGGCTGCTCAAGCCCGTGGACAGAGAGACCCAGCCGACCTATTCTTTCACGGTATGTAAACCTGGATTAGAAAGACAGCCTTCTGAGAATCCACCGTATAGCGTTTGTGTGTGTGTGTGTATGTGTGGGCTGGCCTCCCTGAGGTTTCTCGCTTTTCTCCCACTGGGTTTTAGAGTTTTTCCTTACTGATGCAGGAGAGTCCAAGGGCAGTGGTGATGATCCAGGATATTCGACATGCAACAACATTTATGGAAATTGGTTATCCACCCCTTTATTCGTTAATGGCTCTATGTGTTTTTTTTTATCTTTGTAATAATTAAGTTTGAACTGTTTGATTATCTGATTTGTTGTTGGCAAATTTGACGGTTTTGAGATAATTATAAAAGTGAATTACAAAACAAATTGAATTCATCATGCATGCTGTAACTGTGAGGATGTGTTCAAAGAATTTTTGAAAACCAGATAACTCGCCTAGTCCAGCTTAATACCATTGAGCAAGACCCATGTGAACGTGTGCGCTGATTGTGGTTCATTTGGTTTAACTGGATTGTCTCCTGGTACACTGGCATGTAACCACGTACTGTACACTATAACCTCTTACTCTCAGTATGAGCTTCTCCCATACAGCAGCTGCTACAGAGTACCAACTAAAAAGGAGAAAAGATACCTCAACCTGTATATTAACTTGTTGCTTCCAATATCTGTGAACATCTGGGACAATAAGGCCCTGAAATTAGATGTTTGTGCTGTTTGTTTCTCCCTTTGTTCTGTCTCTGGAGCAGTCCCAGAGACAGAACAAAGGGAGAGAGACCTGAGAGTCTAGAAAGAGACCAGAGAGAGTCTAGAGAGAGACCAAAGAGAGACCAAAGAGAAACTAGCTAGAGAGAGACCAAAGAGAGACTAGAAAAAGGCCAGAGAGACTAAAGACCAGAGAGAGACAAGCACGAGAGACCGAAGAGTGAGATAGATTGAGACCAGAGAGAGAGATAGACAGATCTCTCTCTATCTCTCTAGAGAGAGAGGCCAGGGAGAGACCTTTACCACTGCTTTACCAAATAGTCTTTCATAAATCAGGGTGAAGAGACCAGAGAAAGACCAGAGAGAGAATGCAGGCCTTTGTCGCCGAACACACTGGCGCATCAGCCCTCATTCACTCTCTCATTTACATTCATACCTATTGTGCATGTTTATAGTGGTAGGGGAAACCTACGCAGACATGGGGAGAACATGAAAACTCCACTCAGAAAGGCCCTGTTTCGACCGGGATTCGAACCCAGGACCTTCTTGCCGAGAAGCGAGAGTGCGATCCACTCAGCCACCGTGCCGCCCTATAATTCTTTGCCATGTAGGAGCTAATTTGATTGCGTTAGATGCCAAATGGACCTTACATGGTTAAAAGTCACGTATCCCAGCTTAGATACTGCCTCAATGTCTGATCTGTGTCATCTAATGTTGTGAACAAATCAAACATTGATTTTTTGTTTTGTTTGTACAAAGAAAGAGCCCTGCGAGTCATGATTTGACTTGGATTTAGTGGATTATCTGAGCTGATCTAAACTTTAGCATTAAAAAGAAGCAAGTATAAAATCTCCATTAAGAACCACGCGACAAATGGAGTGAGTACCAAACACCATCTCCTGGTACTCATCCGAGAACCTGACTGAAAAAGTTATGTGCACCCATGTCTATATGTGTGTAACTGCATTGTGTCAGTCTGCTGTCTCATGTGTGTTTCCAACGTAGCAGTTTGTGAGTCCAGGACAAATGTCCTTTCGAGACATAATACATTAATCCTGTATCTTGATCTTGAATACTACTGTCGTTTGGTTTTTGAAAGGGAAACTTCACAGAAAACGTGGTGCATTTGATTCGGCTGTGGAATTTGTAGTACATGCTGTTTGAATAAAAAGCTAAAAGTAAACAAAATGCTGCGTGATTCTATTTGGGAAGATTGTGCTCATACTGAATGTATAACAGTAATTTCTGTATACAATTGCAGTTCCAAAGTAATAAGTCAAAGTTATGAGAGGCCTTTGAAAACCCTCTCTGCTCAATCGGATAACGTGCCACACCAAATAGTCATTTTGTTTTTCATACTATCTTATCTTACGCTTTGTAAACATACTCTGATGAGTATGTTTTGTTCCTGAGCAGCCAGGCCTTTCTTTGGATAAATATGTTCAAAAGTAGAAGGGTTTGGGATCAGACGGGTTGGTTCTCAGTTCTCCATTATAATGGAATTTAATTGATTTATTTGATCTGGAAAATTTGCCATGTTTATTTTATTTATTTGTTTGGAAGATGCACCAACAGAGAAGAACATCTTGTTTTCAAGGGGGTCATCAACATTTTTCGAGTGGGTCCTTAAAATACGTGTCAAGTTTTAAGCGAAAATGCTAGTTCCCATTGGTAGCTGAAGATCTGACAAGTTGATGATATATTCACAGTCAGTCCATTTACAACACTGCAAAACATGATACAAAATTAGGTGAAAATCAAGTGGTTGTTATCTTATTTTGAGTGAATTCTGACTGTCTTAAATTAAGATTTGCCAATGGGATTCTTTTGTTTGTCCCTTTGGCAACTCTTTTTTCTGTGTCTCATGATAGAGGGACCTTTGGATGCGTCTATGTATTATTAAGGCTGTTGTTTTCCATCTGATGATATCTCCCCAGACTCTGGGCAATGTATGTAAATATATTCATTTAATTACGGCTTTTTGAGAACCCCACTGCATCATTCGTGAATTTGTATCAGGACTTAAAAAATGATAATGATAAAAAGTCTAACCTCAATCTCACTAAGATTTTTCTATGAAAAAAAAGTGGTTGTTCATTTCAGGTAAAGATAAACTAATATGCATTCAAATAATGTATAATTCAATTATTATTGTGTGTAGGATCTAGACTTGGCAAGGAAAGTGTTTGTATGGCACAGTTCATATACAAGGCAACTCAAAAGTGCTAAATAAATCAAAATGAATCTGAAACACTACCTTCCCATGTTTAGTCCTGGCTCTGGGCACCAGCTGGAGGCCAGTCCCTGCGCTCCTCATAGTCCCAGGAGGTCAGTCCCTGTGCTCTTTTAGAGTCCGAGTTGGTTCATATGGCAACAACATCTTACGGATGTACTTTGGTGCGAGGCCGAGGAGAGACTTGTACACAAGCAGAGCTGCACATAAGATACCCCTTGTTCACTTTTTAACATGTTTGCACATTTCCTATTATTGACTAGATGCATCAACGTCATCCAGTCACGTGATTGTGAATGAGCTTACGGCGGAAGTATTGGAAACTAACATTGCTGCGAGAGCAAAACGGACACAACTCTTAAAAACGAAGCTTCCTCTCTTGAATCGAGAAGTGGCTGCTTCAAGCACATGTTGGATTACGTTGTAGGTGGAAGTAGGACATCAGGTCAGGGCTCACAAAGAGTGGTATTTAGAGAAGTTAAGGATTGCCGAACTGGATGTTGACCCGTACCTTCTCCCCCCCAGTCAATTTTATCGATTAAATAAAATGTCTATTTTTGCCCAAATTCACCCTACATGATCTTAATCATTATCGTTAACAATGCATCCCCTCACACTGGAGCAGATTTATATGTACATTTTGCTGGTAGCATTAGCAATAGTCCACTTTTCTGTGGCTTTTCTGTCTACAGCCAAACATGATACGTACTGACGGAGAGGAAAATAGTGAAACACGCAATTGACTTAAAAGATAAAAATGTCAATGTTGCAGCGCATATACAGGACAGAGACACGTTTGACGTGTGTCATTGTCCTCCAAATTAATGGAAATAAAACAAATACAAACTTGTGATTGCTTTATCTTGTAAAAAGTGATCACTGCATATTAGGGAGTACTTGGATGGGTCCCAGTCCTTTTGGTTGATTGCCGCCATCGTCGTCTTCTGTCTTCATGACGAGCAGGTATCAGATAAAAAAGCTTATGTCCTTGCCTGTTAGTACAATCAACCGCACTGCAAAATGTCACAGTTGTGGCTGTAATGCGCTGAAACAGGTTGTTTTGGTCCGGTGTCCGTAGGCTCGCAGTTAGACTTCACTCATGGAGAGTGGGCGTGGCCGGGACGTCACATGCAAGGGGTCAATATGCACCTTTCCTGTCTTTTTGCACATCCTGAGTATTGATCAATCTTATCTTATTGTATCTTTCAAATCTATTCTCTGAGCTACTGGTTCTAGTCAGAACTCCAGCTGCAGCATTTTGTATTTACTAGAGCCCAGTGAGCAGGTTGTTGCGGTAGTCTAACCAACTGGAGGCAAATGATTGGATTAGACTTAATGACTAGAATGTCATTAGGTTGCCTTAAGAACTGAATGTCATGAAATAGCTTCACAAACTTGTCCCACCAATCTTCTTAAGTCCCTAAGATTAATGAGATCTGGTGAATAATGTGACCACTTGCTGAATATAGTTAATTATTACTGAGTTGACCTAACAAGCTACAAATTGATGGATTGCATTCAATGCCACACTGCTCAGTTACATTTATGCCATCCATATAAATGATACAGTCTAGTTCAGAATGATTGAGTCTGTAGAAATCCCCCTCCTCATTGCTTGGACACTAAAGTATCAACTACTATATTCTGCCTCTTACGTCTAGGTGAAAACATTCCAACCCTCCAATTGTTTAGAATTCTTTCCTTCCAACAGTTCAATTTGCTCTCAGTCCATTCTCTGTGGACCAATAAACAAACCGTTTGCTCATTTTGCCAGCCTTCCTTTTGGCTAAACCAAGACCAGCCTCTGAGTCGTAACAGTGGGATAGAAGAGGGCAATCAAAGCCACAACCCAAGTGAGTTTATCACGGAGGCAGTTTGGGACATTTTCTCTTAAACAAGCAAGACTGTCGGCAAAGTGCAATATCATTGTGGTGTTTCCCTGACAAACAGCCCTGTTATACTGTATGTCAGAAGTGAATTTGGGCCAAAGCTGGTTTCAAATAGACTCAGGCAAACTGGAAGAAATGTCTTGAGGGGAAAAAAATGAGAAACTGAGAAAATATTCAAATGGCAAGAGAAGATTTCTTTAATTGTTTTTATATTTAATAGAAGATGTTTAAAAAGCATAAGTTGAGAATATGTTGCTAAAAACAAACTCCATTAAGTGTTGTTCCCCAACCGTCCTCCCCACTCAGGGTGCCGGTGCTTTGTTCAATTGATCAGATGAAACCCCATGACGCTTTCAAAGGCGTTTGGTGATGTTTCCTTATGAAATATAAACTAAAATATAAACTGTATTAGTACACTTTTTACAAATATAATCAAACAGAATCTGTTTTTCACACATAACGAAAACAAAATAATGAAACGTGTGGCGCAAAGGACCGCGTACTTCATCGTAGTGATACGAAAGAGTGAGTTGCCAATACATACAAATTCAGATGTGTTTTATTTGCCATTTGCGATAAAACCACATTGAAATACATCAGCAAAAGTCCCCAGTATGCACAAGACAAGTACATTTCTATTATAAGCATGACTTTTCCATGTGCTCCCTGCCATATCTGGTTTGTGTAGTTACAAAGCCGTGTAACCGGGATAGAAATGGTTTGATTTATTTACACCAAAGAGACTGGCTTTTCACTCTTCAATCAGCACACCGGGTTTCCATGTGTCTTGCTCAATCAAATCAAATTGAATAAATTGGTGAGTTGTTGTTTTTTCCCTTGTGCCAAATTTTTTAAGTAGTATTTATTTATTTTTGGTTAAAATGTTAAATCCTGGCATCTACCTCGACATGCCTCCCTGAAGTAAAGCTATACTGTGATACATTCTAGAAGAAGCAATAACATCTCCATAGAAATGACTCCCCCAGCTGGTTAACATACTGTTTATGATACCCTAAAATGTTGCCGCCGTCTCTAAAACCAACACGTTTCTCCATAGATTGACAATTTACGTGCGTTTGGTTGGTGATATTGCATTTGCAGATGGTGGCCTCAGACGGCGTGCAGCAGAGCCAGCCAGTCACGGTCAACATCCTGGTCATCGACGCCAACGACAACACGCCGACGTTCCCCAAGGTCTCCTACAGCGTGGAAGTGTTCACGGACATGCAGCATGGGGAGACCGTCATTCAGGTCAGTCATCTGTGTTGCTCTTGGGACTTTCTGTTTGATTATTTATGCTGCATGGATGTGAGTCAGAGGCCAGTAACATATTCATATTTGAACTGAACGATTATTAGTTTCCACATAGAGATAAGTTAAATGAAATAAGATAAGCCTTTTTTTCAGAATCTTCCAAATTTTGTCCACTTATGTCACTATCTACTTATCCAGCTCTATATGTATATAACCTTTAACTATATACATATGTATATAGCATATTTTATATATAGTATAGAGTATTGGCCTTAGAGCCTGAAGGTCGTGGGTTCACGACTCCCACTGATGACTAATTAATATATATATGCAGCTACTCACATTGTATATTATGGGGGCGCCCTGTGTGCTCCTACTACTGTCCTGTATGTGCGCTGCAACATTGCGGATCACCATCTTATCTTTATTCGTCCCTCAGTGGGTAAATTTGAATGTCATCGTTAGGGTTAGCAATAAAAAGAGTACAAGGAGCTCTCAGATTGCACACATAAAACAGGATCTATTATTTTAGATTATAGATAGAACAAAAAAATAAAACTCTTGAGTATGCATAGTAGTTAACAGCATCATGATGAATTTACAGATGTATATTTTACTTTAGAAGTTTATATTTACCTGTTTGATTTGCTTCTCCATGATTTTGACGTGAGTTTGGATCCTCAGGAACATTTTTATTGCTGCTGCTCTCCGTGTTGTGTTTACAGCGAGAGCCAATAAAGAGTATCAAAGATAAGGCAGAATGACAGACAGGTTACAAACAGATAAAGAAAATTATTGCCTTATCACTCACCTCAACTCAAGCTAAACTTCATTGTGTTCATTCAGTCGTGTCCTTATATAGAAGGGCCTTTTTCAGGATATCAATGTTCTATAAAAGGAGGGTTTATCATCATGTGTCAGTGTTTGCAGCAAGCTATTCCATGGTGTGAGGTTTTGAGAACCTACTGTACTCTACAGCACACTGGTGCATCTGCACTATTGTTTCTCTCTGCTTTGTCTTTACAAAACTCTATTGATCGACATTCAACAAAAAAGTAGCAGTTTTAAACTACACCAATAGTTGTATGCAGTGTTCTCATTGTTGAGAATACTAGATCATACAGATCTCAACCGTTTGTTAAGCTTCTATATAAAAAATATTCCAATCCTCCAGTTTGTTCTGTGTATTGATTCGTTAGTGCTAAAATAGTGTATTTACAGCACATAGTTTGTTTAATTTAACACCACAAAAGAAAATTTTACACAGAAAATTGTTACCCTTCCCTCCACTGTCCCTATGGCAACATACAGGAGTAGATTTGTTTATTTGAATGGTACATCGTGTTTAATGGTGATGAAAGCAGAGCACCCGTAGGAAAACATGCAAACTCTACTCAGTGAGTCCCTGTGTCGCCTGGCATTTGAACCCAAGACTCTCCTGCAGAGAGTTGACAGAGCTAGCCACTGTGCCGCTGTGTTACTACAGTGCCCAAAGACCCATCTCCAGAGGATAATGCTGAGCTTGGCCAGGATGTCAGGAGCTGGAGGATAGACATAGAAGAATGTTTTAGGTGGTGGGGAAAGCAGAGTACCTGTAGGGAACTTGGGGAGAAACATGCAAACTCCAACAGAAAAGCCCTGGCCGCAACCGTTCTTCATTGAGGCTTAAGTACCACCCACTCAGCTTTGCATCTACTCGTTTGACTTCCAATTCAAGTCTTGGAATCAATCAGTCGCTCTTTTGTGCGGTTTGACAAAATTTAACTTCTCAGGGAGTCATGCCATGCTGACTGTTTATGCTTCCTCTTTGGCTGGTTATTACTCTTCAATACATCCCTTAGTCCCCCCTGTCCCCAATTATACTCCTCAAGCGAGAAACCTTCAAAACTTTCTTGACTTATTTTTTTTGTATTGTTTTTTTTTTGCCATCTGCAGAAAAGTTTGGTTTTCTCTAATGCCATATGTGGCATGACATTGGATCAAATGTGGAACTAACAATGTGAAGAGAACAGGAAAACCCCATTTGACAACTGCTGGGTGCATTCTTCTAACTCTTCATTATGTTGACAGGACAAACACTTCTTTCTACTTGCCTGTGTGAATGTCTTGCAGAGTTGGAGAAGTTTTTGTGCAGATCTGTGTGTATGGAACCAAATATTTAAAAAGTCATGTTTCTATTTTGTCATACACGTTATTGCTAAATTGGACATTGAATCCATTTGGATCAACCTGTAGCACATTTCAGAAGGGTCTGAGTAGAGCCCTGCACTTGAGCCCTAGGCCAGAGGGGCCCGACAGGCCGAGGACCGGGCTTCGGGCCGATGACGTCAATGATAGTATTGGGCCGATGACGTCAATGATAGTATTGTCATTGACGACACATAGCGTTACCTTCAAGTGTGTTGTACTTTATTGCAGCATCTGGGTATCATACATAGAACGGACGTAGTCACGCCTATCTCTGCCGTTCTAAATGGTCCAAAAATTGGGCTTTCATGGAGTGATTAAAAATGGCTGCAGAGGCTGGAAAATATGAAAAAACGCATCTGCGCATGCGTCGGCCGGCAGGAGCCCCATTCATTTAAACAAGTGACTTCAAAAGTTCACAGCGAGTGAACTAGACTGGTCCAAAAAAATTCATTCCCCTCAGCATTGATACACATGTGGAACGGAGCTTTGGGCCAAGAGACAACTTTTGGACCAGCCTGTAAAGACGTTTTTGAGAGGTCAGAAGATACGTACATTTGCATTGAATAATTCAATTTCCGGGTCCAGCCCTCTGGCTCGGTGTGGTATTGCAAGCATGTCAGCGCCCGTCATTTTGGCCACTTCTGAGCCCCCTCTGGTATCATACAGCTGCAGCCGTTCACTCCGTACACACAGAACTCCATGTATAACTGCGCCCTCTAGCCTGGCCTGTGTTCATATCAGTGCGCGGCACTATATACTACGCTAAAACATTGTTATGAGAGGTAAAAGAAAAAAATATCGGGCTTGATATGGTTTGGGGCCAGAGAATTCAGAAACCATGTTGGTCCGGGCCGGGCTGGAGCGCCACCCCCTTGGGCCAGGGCCGGGCTCGCGCACCAGCAGTATAGTTCATTCATTCATTCAGGTCATTTATTATTTACTTATTTACGTCGAAATTTTAGGCGAGATGAGTGCTGCAGTGGGTCTAGACACTAGGGAAAAAAGTGTATATATAATATGGCGCTTTTTTTTTTTACATGAATAAACTCAAAAGGGGCGACAGTAGCTCAGTTGGTAGAGCATTGGCCTTTAGGCCTGAAGGTCGTGGGTTCAATTCCCACCTTGACACCGACTCCCACTGATGTCTGCTGTCGTTGTGTCCTTGGGCAAGACACTTAACCCCACTTTGCCCAAAGCCCCTGCTGAGAGATCATGGCCATGGGCGTCGGACTGGGGGGGTAAAGGGTACCGAGTACCCAGGGCCCAAGGCGGGGAGGGGCCCTCTAAAGTGTGTCTTTATATTTATATGTATTAGGCATTGTGGTATATTCATATTATTACAATTTGAATGAAAGGGGCCCTGTATAAAAATAACCAACGTTTTTTTTTTTAGTTTATTTATTTATTTAAAAGGGACCATGTACAATTATAACATAAATGTTGCCATTTGATGCATTGTACCAGAGTTAGCCTGAGGCTAATTTACATCTGCAGTCCCTGGCAGGGAATGGACGACCCATAACAGAAAAAAGACAAGATTCACAAGACAAGGGGTCGACCAGGAAAGACAAACCACATACAACATTACAGATTCATAAAACCCAGACAAGACACATCAACAACACAAATACAGACAAATAAGTCAGTACCAGAGGGAGTGTAAAAACCAAAGAGGGCTGGCATGGCTAGTGTGTACAATGCTGGCTACTTTTTAGATGCTTTTTGAGTTCAGTTTTAAAGCCCTTGATGGTCGTGCATGTCTTTATATTGTCAGGTAGTTGGTTCCACAGTTTAGCAGCCTTCACTGCAAACGCTGATTGACCAAAGGTGGAATGACGGAAAGGTACAATGCAATCATGTAGAGAAGCTGCTCGAGTAGATCTTAAAGAACTCCCAGAGCGCTGTCGCACAAAGGTTTGTAAACAGCCAGGAGCCAAGCCCTTCAGGATCTTAAAGACCAAACATAGATATGAGAAAGTTCTAAAATTTTCAAAACTCAAGAAATTGTATTTTGTCAAGATGCTACAATGATGATGGTTAAATGGCTTTTTATCAAAAATCTTTAGGGCCTGCTTGTACACGGACTCTAACGGTCTAATTGCGGTTTCTCCAGCCTGTCCCCAACAGGTGATGCAGTAAGACAAGTGGGAAAAAATAAGAGCGTGCATGAATATCCTGGCTGCCTCCAAAGAGAGACAAGATCTAATATGTCTGAAGTTGATTACATTATACCTAATTTTCTTTATCATGTTCTTAATATGTATTTTAAAATTCAAGTTAGAATCCAGTGTAACACCAAGATATTTAAAATCAGACACGGTGTCGATTTTCTCACCCTTAAAGAAAATGTCTGAAGTTGGGGTTTTGACATTAGTTTTTGAGAAGAACATGGCTTTTGTTTTGCCCACGTTCAAACTCAGACGAGACTGCTCCAGCCATTCAGACACAGAAACCATAGCTTTGGACAGTTGTTCAGCTGCCAGGTGACTGCTTTTAGCATGAGAATACAAAATTGTATCGTCAGCGTACAGTTGTAATTGCACACCTTGACAGCATTGTGCAAGGTCGTTAATATAGAGGCCGAAAAGCAAGGGGCCTAACACAGACCCCTGGGGCACGCCCATTGTGCATTCCAAATAGCTCGAGCAGGCGTCCTTCACCTTAACACACTGCATCCTGTCGGCCAAATATGAAGTCACCCATGCCAGTGTTTTACCAGAGAATTCAAAATTAGAAAGTTTAGAAACAAGAATATTATGGTCAACTAAATCAAAAGCTTTCTTTAAATCTAAGAAGACTGCACCAAC